GTTACTTTGCACTTTTTGTTAGAAAATGTTTTATTTACTATTTATTCAGGTTTTTTAAGGTATCTAATATTTTGATATTTAATTTCCATGATCTAAATATTCTAAAAAATAAAAAGTTTGTCATTTGGAAGTGTGTAGGCTTTCTTGCATTATTATGTTGTTACATTATGATTATATATTCAGTGGCATAAAATGGTCTTTAAAATGACAATGATATCGCTTATCGCAATTATTTCTGGGGCAATATATCTCACAACAAAAAGTTGTTATCGTGACAGGCCTAGGTGCAGACTCAGAGCAGAATTTAAGTTGTTAATCGCTGAAAATATTATGCAGATTATTATCCCCCGATCCACTCCGTGAAAGCGCGCATTTCTTATGCAAACACACCTCACCAGAAACACGGCATGTCGCAATCTGTGACGAAGCAGGCGAAGCAGAGCCAATCAGCGTTCGATTTTCCTGTCGTAAAACCATAAAACCTGTCATAAAACTTGTCATAAAGCTTCTTTAAGTGGCAATTTTTTAATTTGTAAGGAGCGGCCAGCGCGGGTTTTGCTGCTTACGGTCGCTGCTCAGGCTCACAGTCGTATGGATTCTGAAGATTTGGATTACAGCGCACAAATAAAATTAATCCTTTTTGTAATTTTGTTGCGATTTTTGGTGTATTATGTTTTATGGTTCTGTTGTCAGTCACAGCATGTCGGAGAAAACGCCTTTTGTGTCCTATGGCAAACAAAGTAAATATTACATAAGTAATTATTAAACGACTGCAGATATGTTATTCATTTTAAGGGTTTAAAGTGTAGTCTTGTTTAACATTGTGTATTCTTCAAAACGAGTTGGCAGCAGAAATCACACAGAATGAAATGTTATCATTTCATATTAAGTAAATGAGTAAACTTAATTTAATAATGTAATTGAAAACATTATGCCATTGATATGACAACTGAATACAATACAACATTAAATGTTAATGCCGAGATTTGAATATTCATAAGGATTCATTTGTAACTCTTTAAAGTTGTTCATACGTAAATAATTTAAGTTTTAGGTGTCATCAATACGTCAGATGCTCTAAAAACGTCAGTATTGTCGTAAAAACTTAAGTAAATGTACGTTTTGTTGAAACATATTTTATGAAAAATGCATACAAATTCTCATGAGATCACATTGCAGCGATTTTCAGTTGTGTCTAATTTAGGCTATTCCGAATTTAAAGAACCTGCAGTTTTTTTTTTTTACAAACAGCTGTAATAGTTTCTTAGCAAAGTGTCACTCATGCTGATGGAATGAAGCATTTGAATTGACAATTTTGCATACAGCCAACATTCCTGTTTTCCCACAAGACAAGTCATCCCTAGCCACTGATTTTTTGAGTGTTTCTTATTTTTCCTTTTTCCAAAAAATCAGCATAATGGTTTATATGAATAATATGGAAAGCAACTTGGTAATAATAATGCCTGCCAATCAATGCAATGTCTTGATGAAGACAAACTGATTTTCACAATGAGCCTCAGGACATTGTGGCTTAATTTCATGAGAATGGAATTTACTTCTGTTCTACTGATTTTTGCCAATTCTACAGGCAAGTTAGAGGCACAGAAGGTTCATATCTTGAAGGAATATTCTATTTTTACCCCATTTCTTCCATACTAGTTACATTTGACCATACCCAGACCAAACCCTGTTGTGTAACGAACAAATGGCTCCTCATTAAGATTTAGTATAGCGTTTATATAATGATAAAAGATAGAAAAAAAGACCACTGCACTCAATATAAAAGCTCAGAATGACTGCAATGAATCCCCCTATAATGTTATTGTTAAGGTTGAACCCTGATTCATGCACTCATTCTCAACTTCCCCTCCATTGTCATGAGGCAGAACCAGACAACCGCAGGAAGTTGCCCCTGCCCCTCATATTAGCCCGTCTCTTGTCTAATCCTGGTGCATCTGAGGTGCAGTTACATTATGTACTTATATATATTGTCCACATTTACAAGCAACTGATGTCCTCATCCAAAACACTCTCCTTCTTGTGAAAGTTTTGAGAAATGATAAAGTCAGTTCAGGAGATTATGGTCCTTTGTGACTTAATTAAGCATCTGAAACCTCTACAAAAGAGTTATATAACACCCACAGTGGAGTTTGCGATGCTCAATACATGTTTTGGCTTACAGTCTCTTATTTAGATGCAGGATGAATTTCACCATGGAAGGTCAAGTTGTCTTGAACATTTGGAATCATATCATAGGTGTCCTCAAGGAGTGAAGTACTTACATAAAATACTCGGTTTCCAGCCTAAAAGAAAAGCTTCTTTCTTGAGTACTAGGTTTTGGGTTGCCAAGGCCAGTTTAATTAACATTATTTATGAGGATAAATGTGCTCTGGATATTTTTTGTCTTACATAGCACTTTGGGATTTGAGTTTAGGTCAGGAATATAGCTCTTTTAACAAAAGATAAAGTATACAGCTTCTTTGGATGTCTTGTAGAATCTGTTTTTTCTTGGTTATCATTATTATTAGATGAACCATTTTAATGTCATATTTGTTTCTCAACAGTGCCTGAAGATCTCTCACTGGAAGAGAGAGATGAACTGTCCAACATTAGACAGAGGAAAAAAGAGTTGCTAGATGACATTGAGGTATCGGCTTTAATGTAGCTGTTATCTTTTTAAAGTCATTAATATATCTCAGTGATTGACATTTATCATGTCACCGTTCACTACAAGTTCCACCTGATGGGGGCTGAATGTCATTGGTTGCACGATGTATTTTATTATACACTGCATTCATTTGAAGAATATTAAGAATGATTTTTGGTGAATTTGATTAACTTCAGTGATATAACTTAAGTAACAACTTTTTCTGTGATTCTTGCAGCGGTTAAAGTTTGAGATCTCAGAAGTCATGACAGAGATTGAACATTTAACATGTGTCAGAGAGACGTATGTTACTTTTAGTTTTTCAGATTACAACGATTTGTTTAGCATTGAGACTAAAATAATATTAGTTCATATTTGTTATTTTAAAAGAGAACTTGAGAACTTTTTTTCACCACATTACAGCAAAAGCACTCAGAGGAACAAGCAGATTGCTGTTGGAAGAAAGAAATTCAATATGGATCCTAAAAAGGTATTATTGTTGCTATTTCTTTATTCACCTTACCTTATGTAAAATGATGTCCAGGTGAAGTGGCTAACATTTAAACATCTTTGCAGGGAATCCAATTTCTTTTGGAGAATGATCTTCTGCAGCACACACCTGAGGACATCGCACAGTTCCTCTATAAAGGCGAAGGCTTAAACAAAACTGTTATAGGAGATTATTTAGGGGAACGGTAAGTCGCATCGCTCTCGCTCACATAGCAAGACCAGTTTTGCTATCTGTGCAAATTATATGTGAGTTGTTAGATAAGGCCTTTCCATAAAAGATTCTGCTCTCTCAGGAAATTACTTCCCCTTTTGTAACAACAGAAAATGACCACAAGTTTCCAAAACAATATTTAGCATATTACCCAGACGGCATGAAGATGCCTTATCTCGCCCCTAACTGACATCTCTTAACACAGAATTGGATATAAAACATTATTATTGCCACCCAATGCTACACCTGTCAATATCAAGACAAATGAAGGTGTATAGTCTTAAAGGTCTGCAACAATTTAGCTGCTCAGCATTGCCCCCTGAGGGAGGTTTACAAAAAAAGAGAGACTAAGCATGATCTACAGTGTAATAGTTGTTGGATATAAAAATAGCTCTGTCTACGTAGGCATCCTGTCCAAGTTGATAACTGTTTTCTTGGCTATGCTCTAGCCTGAAGATCAGTTGTACAGTCATCCATTTCATTTTCTACTAGAAATTGTGGTCATAAACTACATATAGCAATTACTGTTAATTGTATTTACGAGGAAGAGCTGAAAGCTGTAATTATTGTGTCTCTGATTAAAAGAGTTTGGAAACATGGTTCTATCTTAGTTTGTGTAACAAGGCATATGCTGTGGTAAATCGCTTCCTTACACTTTATGTTCATACCTCTGCTTTTTTAAGACCCTTGCATGTATTCAAATTATGTTTTTTATATCCATACACCAAACATGGTCTTACACTAGTTAGTTGGTCTGAAACCCTGTTGTAGAAAACTGAACAAACGAACAGCGACTGACTCCTAAATGTCTAAAAGTCTATACTGTCTTTGATTGACCTCTGTTAAAATGAGTGCATGTATCTCTTGAGATGGAGCTTGGAGCGAATGAGGAAATAGCTATTGCTGATTAAACCTTTTTTTCTCATTATTTTTAGAGATGACTTCAACATTAAGGTTTTGCAGGCATTTGTGGAGCTTCATGAGTTTGCTGATCTCAACCTGGTGCAAGCATTGAGGTGAGATTGCTGTTTTCTCCACCATCCATTAAATCTATATGTTCTGAATATAATTAGAGCATAATGTGAGTTAAGCAAGCCATTCATTATCTTTGCATCACTCTTTTACTCTGTTAAAAAAATCATACATACTCATTAATTCCTTTAGGCAAAGGTCCATCAAATAGTCATTATAATTTTAAGTGTCATTCCCATTTCTCCCTTGCAGGCAGTTTTTGTGGAGTTTCAGACTTCCTGGTGAAGCACAGAAAATTGATCGAATGATGGAGGCCTTTGCTGCTCGATATTGCCAGTGTAACCCAGGTGTCTTTCAGTCCACAGGTACAGCTTTTATCAGAAGTAATCTTTACTTCTACCTGAACCCCTCTTTGTGGCACATCATTGGCCTTAAAGGGGTCATGAACTGAGAAATCAAAATTCCCTTGATCTTTTGACATATAAGGTCATTGTACCATAAAAACATCCTGTGAGTTTCAGAACTCAAAACCTTCTTGTTAGTCTAAAAACAGCTTATATCGAAGCCAAATCTGCCAAAACGACAGGTTGTGGAATGTGCCACTTTATGATGTAATAGTGTGGCTAAACCCCGCCTCTGCAGAAGAAGATCAACGCCTACTTCTACATCACTGCCTGTTTAGCCCCGCCCACCGATTCACGCTTGTAGTGTAAATAGCGAGAAAAACCAAATGCAGGTCTACACAGAAACCAAACTATAAAGATGGCTCCGAAGACAAGAAGACGCTGTACAGTGCCAATTTGTGGAAAAACACAGTCTTTGCATTGCCTTCCTTCTGATCCCAACATTAGGAAAGAGTGGATGAACTTTATTTATAATGAAGTTCCAGACCGCGTCAGTAAGAACTTGGTCCTTTGTTCTCTTCATTTTGCCGCGAATTTGTTTACAAACAAGGCACAATTCGATGCAGGATTTTCAGAAAGATTGAAACTGAAAGATGATGCTGTGCCGAGTCTGCCGACTATACTGGATCCGACAGCAATGTCGCAACACACAAGTGTAAGTAACTGTTTTTATTACGTGGTCACTATTGCTATGTCTGTT